TATAAATTTTTACAAAGGTGTGAGTAACTGTGACTCTTAGGATCAGGTGAAACTTACTGGAAGAGAGAACATCGCTTCAGGATATTAAGGAACAAAGAGGAATAGCAGTAGGGGAATATTTAGGCAAGGAATGGCATGAATAAGGCAAAGATGTTAGGCTATTTTCATATATCCACATGGCCTTCTCTCCAGAGTGTGGAAGGGCAGAGTGGGAAGGATGACTCACAAGGGCAGTCAGCTCTCAAACCTTGGGAGCACCTGGCTACCATACTAAGGAGTCTGGACTACATACCATACATGAAGGAGCAGGTGACGGTTTGAGTCAGGGCATGGCATAATGAGGATGGTTTGAAGAGGACTATTCTGGTTGAGAAAGTAGAAGTAGAGAAAGGCCATGTTAGAAGGCATTTATAATATTGCAATCGTCTGAGTAAGAAATGGTGACAGCCTGAACCAGGATGAAGGAGAAAGGCAGGGAGCCAGTGAAATTCAGTAGAAGGTAGAGTCAACATGACTAAAAGAAAATTTGAAGGGAGAATAAAAGATAATCCCAAGGTTTCTCTTTTGGGTAATTCAAAGGGTAGTGTTCTCTTAGCTGAGAGAGGGAACACAGGATCAGGAAGTACAGTTATACGTAGTAAGATGATAAATGATCTTGCATCCTGTTGAGATTGAAGTGGCAGTAAGATACATACAGGGAAATTCTGTTACTCTGTTGCTGGTAAAAATGTGGTGTTTGGCCAAAGAGATCAAAGCCACAGGCGTAGACTTGGAAGTCAGTTTAGCTAACATGGTTGAGCCAGTGAGTGAACTCAAGAATTGTCAGGCAAATGAAAGAGAAAATCTAGAACAAGACTTGTGAAATGTCTACAATTAACGAGTTGGCAGAAGGAAATAGTTGGCACAGGAAGAGATCAGGAATCAATGAATGAGAGAGGAACTCTGGAAAACACTTATTTACGGGCACAAGAGGTTGATTTTTTTCCTGCTCTTTCCAAATAATATTAGTTAACTTGCCTGACTGTCAATTTTTGCTCATCTGTAATACATATCCCATAAGGATGGGCTTTAAAAAGATAGTGAATGTGAAAGTGCTTTGGTAAACCATCAGACACTCTCTGAGGCTTAGGTTTTATAATTAGTGTCATAGAAGTGAAGAAAGTGTAGACTTCCAAGAAGGAAGAAAGTAATATCAGATGCTACAGGGTTTCAGAAGTATGTTTATTTTTAACTCAAATTGTTCGTTTTGTGCTTTAAGGAAGTTAAGCCAAGAGAGTGAATCTGTTCTCGAATCACTTAGAACAGAATTTACCAAAGCGTGGGGCATGTACCCCTTGTTGTACAGGAGACCATTTTGGATTTGACACAGACATTAAATAGAACTGAATCATCGTGAGAAAGTGATTCCCCTTTTATTTCTCCTTTAATCCTTCTGATTTATGTTAAGGGAGAAAGTCTCAGTTGGAGCAAACAAGTCTGTATTCTAACACTAGCTCAACTCCCTTTTCAATAATCCCATTCAAGTTGTCAACGTTATCTAACTAGAATTTAACAACATCATATTAACTTTAAGATTACCACAACCAGTTGCAATAGTAATATAGTGTCCTTTTAAAATAAGTTATTTGAAACAAGTTCACAAAGACTTGGACACAGCTGAGCACTGAACAACAACAAAGCAAAAAGTTAACCAATTAAGGATTTTAAGTACATAATTATATGGGTATGGGTTGTTTATAGATATGGTGAAACTTAGGAAGTGGTATTCCAGGGATGAAAGTTTGAAAAATTTAGACTTATACTAGAGCTCTTCTTCCTTCTGTAACTTAGAGGGGCTGCCTTTAGTTCAGCCCGATTAGAACAATGTGAGAAGTTTATCCTGAGATGGGGAAGGGGTTTGGGGTGGGTTTTAGGTACTAGACTTCCAAATCTAGACCCTATCTTTTTCCTAAGATGTTGGGTCAACTTTTGAAGCCCCTAGACTTTTTTGGACTTTTGTGTCTTTGGCTATTAAAATGAGATTATTAGTTTTAAGTGATTACTAGCATTCCTTCCTGCAATAAATTTGTAACTCTTTGAGTGATTAATAAATAAACCTCTCCTCTTGTGAATAAATAAACCTCTCCTCTATCTAATTGATAGTGGTTAGATACAATTTTTTCCTTCTGAATGCCATCAATATCATGTGTCAGTGTGAGAGAGCCTGTTCCCAGACTAACATCTACAGCAAGGAAAACATCAAGTTCATTCTCTAATGATGGTTCATATTCTACCTTATTTTCAAAGGACAGTTATTTCAAGAGTGAATCTCTGCTTTAGTTAGAGTGATTGATTAAAATGGAAAATGAAATTGTAAACAAAAATGTTTCAATTTCCTTTATGCCAACCCCCTACTCTCTTAAGTAGTTTCTTTGCAGTCATATCTAATCAATTTGTAAATTTTATAAATTTTCTAAATCAATTTTGTTCCATAGTGTATCAACTCATAGGTCCTTATACTTAAAAAGATGTCTCCATTTTCTATTTACTGATATCTTTCCATCTTTTAAAATGTATTTCCCCTGAGAAAAGGGAGGGTGGATGAAATATTCTCTGTCTGAAAGTTCTCCTAAATTTTATTGTGACTTAATGTTACTTTACAGTCCAAGTAACTTTTAGAATAGAAGCATGCAACTTATTTGGAATATAACTATATGGCAACTTCCACCATCAAAGGCACAACCAGGGACCAGGTATAAAATGAAAAATGAATAGCATGTGAATTTAAAAACAACACATATACATGTAGTGTTGGATCTGAAAAATTTGAGTTTGATGCTAGCTTTAAAAAGTTTAAAGATATAAATATGAACAATTTCTTCTTTATGATTAGATAGGAAGAATTACTCCCTGCCATTTTTTGAACTGTATCAGGTTCACTTTTGCTCTTATTTACTCTTACGAGGGTGATTTTGTGCAAGCAATTTAACAATTTATGATTCTGTTTTCATATCTGAAAAAAGTAGTTAAGAATACATACAACTGATCTGACCAAATCAGTGCTTTCAAGTAAAACCTTCGATGACATGGTGGGTAACCTCCTACCCTAGTATTCAACTAGTGTTAATCCCAACATTGCAAGAACACTGTCCGATCAGTTGAAATTAAACACACACTTGATTTTGGAAGATCATCTTTTACTGCTCTTCAGAGCTTCCTTCCTTCTCTTATTCTCTATACAATAGTAAACTAGATTTCCTGTTTTCGATCCTTAAAGATTAGAAGAGAAGTACAGAAGGTGCAAAGGACACTAGGAGGAAAAAAGACAAAGAAAATGAACAAAGTAGAAATAATTTAAAACTCATAAGTATCCAGAGCCATTTACTGCAGGGGAAAATAGCCCCTCATACCTCATGGTCACTTAGGCCTTTTCTATATTCTAGAAGATACATCGATCTAAGATAAATAGAACTAAGATATAACAAGGGGTATTTCAAATGAAAATCTTGATTTATTAGGGCTAAATTAAATTATATATACTTTGCTTATTTTAGGAAACATATAATTCATTTTGGAAGAATTTCAGTATGAAAAGGTCAAAATCTTTTAAATAAATATTTTTTGTGCTTTTACGGGTAAACCCTTAGCCATCCAAAAAAACGTAGCCATTGAGAGCTCAGTCTCCAGTGGTTCCACATAAGTATGGTATTCTGAAGAATCTTTTGTGTATTTCCAGCAAATAAGGGTGCACACATTCTATGGGAGAGGATAGGCATTTCTAATTACGAAGTTAAAGTGATTTCTGCGTGGATGACCTTCATGTTTCAATAAAGAGCATTTGATAGAAATCACTTGTGGATTTTAGCAGGAGCAGCTTTCTTACATTCTTTTGCCAGGACTTTGTGCTGGGACTGTTTACCTAGGTAGGACTCAGGGGCTGGCATTTGTGCTGTCACCTTGATTCTCATGGAGTCGTCTGTGATTCTCTGGACAAAATATTTAAAGTTGCACATTGACACAAAAGCCCTTTCTAAGTTATAAGAACAGCACAAACATGAGTTAGTACAAATGATCACCCACTACATACTGACTCAGTACTGCTGCCCTGAGCTAAACGACTCTGAAAGCAGTCAAGGAACGGGCAGTTGCACATGCCAGAGAGAGAGCACATAGAGTCCAGCGCCATCAGAGGTCAGCTACCAGGGCTGGAGTTTTCAAAGAAGCAGATAATGCCAGTTTTATGGCCATTAATAACATTTTAGTTATATAAACAATGATAAGAGTACTAAAAAGCAAATTCTGCTTTGCAGTGTGCTCTGATTGCCAACAGGGTTCAGAAATGAACTTTCTCCTTGCACACATAACATTGCATAATGGAACACTGATCATCCTCCGGCCCCTCCCCAGCTTCCAGCTCCCTTTTATGGACAGTCCTTAGTCTTGCCAGACCCCTCAGCTGTCCAGGGAGAGAGCTTCTTGGGTTTCCCCTTTAAAGCTCTTTGATAGTTCCTCTGGTAGTTAATGTACCAAATGGTCTTCAGGGCATTTCCTACATGGCTCTGCAGCTCATCAGAGCACCTTGACCATGGATTTCCTACCTCAGTGTTTTGCACATGTTGAAGGGCTCAGTTCAAACACCAGGCCCACTAGCTTCTGCAGAGGTGTGGCAGAGCTCAGTGCTGATTTGGGTGTCTGCCTCAAAACAGAGATTTTTCCAAAGGATATCCTGTAGTAGATAAATCATTTCATTAGACCAGGTTCACTTTTTAAACCAGGAAGCAGAGTGCCTGCCATGTAGGAAAACTCAGATAAAGTTGTTATGACTGTTCTCAGAGCACTTGTAAATATTGTTGTCAGTGCCTTTTATACAGGTTCCATCATGATTGTATTTAAACATGGACAGGTTAATTATGTGTTTGAAGGCTATGTTTATTGAGAACCGATAAGAAAGATGTGAAATGAGTCCTTTACATATTGCAATGACAATGTTTTTTTTTTTTCCCTCAAATGTCTCCCACTAGTTGATTACTCCTCATGCCATCCGTGTGCAGACTCCTCCTCGGCATATCCCTGGTGTTGTAGAGGTCACCTTGTCCTACAAATCCAAACAGTTCTGCAAAGGGACACCTGGCAGATTCATTTATACAGGTAAGAACTACTGCAGATGGTGGACAGAGCGGTCTTGACCCCGTGGGTCTTTGACTCAATCTTGTATGTATAAGTGTTATTTTATTCTAAAATCTATTTCTTCTTAAGACCCATTTTGTCTGTTTTACCTCATTTATGATGAAATGAGTTGCTACTACTACTATTATTATTACCATTATTATTAGATAAGATTTCATCTAGGTGTCCTTGTTGAATGACAGGATCTGTTGAAATTGTGGGTTAGATACCTAAGGCAGTGGCATGAGCAAGGAGGAGTGCTAGACAGTCCTAAGAGTCTCGGGATGTTAAGCCATCATGTGTGGGTTTGCTTGCTTTATGGAGTAGGAATGTGCTTGACTGCACAATACAACTTTCTTCTAGCTTGGGCACGGCCATTTAAAGACTTTTGGTGATTTTCATATTTAATTCTGGGTTGGTGCTTTCTTTCCCTTTAAACTTCATTTTGTTCCCCATGACTGCCTCCTGCCACCCCAAACACATGGACCTGCCTTGGCACATGGATCTATCTTGCATTAAGAAGGTAGGGTTCTAGGGTGAAGGTGAATTTCCTCACATCACCTGGAGACAATCAGGCAGGTTCTCTGTGGAAACATATCAAGTGCATAGTCTTAAGTGCCTAGTGTGTAGTCAAGAGATCCTCAGAGTGTTTACGTGTAAACCAAACACCCAGGGATCTTTGTTGCAATCCAGATTCTGATTCAGTAGCTCTGGGTGGGATCTGAAACTCTGCATTTCTAACAAGCTCACAAGGAGAGGCTGATGATCCTGGTCCAAGGACCACACTGGCTTTGGGGGCAGTATAGGTCCTCTGCTATGTAGCAGTCATTTCTGGGTTGGCGCCTCCAGAAATTGGCCCCATGTTTCCTTCTTTAATCAATAAAGGACCACAAAGCCAGATTAAGTACAGAGTGTAAGTTGCTTTCACACAAAGAGACTCCAAAGCATGAAGGGACAACTGTGTCAACACATCCTAATTGTAACCATACAATTAAATGGACAAATTTTATTTTACTGTGACATTTTATCTCAAAGCATCTTTCCTGTTGCATTTTAATAGGAGGAAAAAAACCGACCATGCTTATCAGTGACTCGCTCTCCCCCCTCAATCCTCTCTCTCAAAATTATAAAAACAGCTAATGCATCCTGACCCTTGGAAATGCCTCCCAGTCCTTTAAACAAAATGCAGGTTTGGTGCCTGCCTGACGATTAGTTTTAGTTAATTGAAAATTATAGGATTGACCCAAGAGGAAAATTTTATTTGTACTCCAATCACTTTTACAAATTAAGGAAAATTACCACAATTTTGTTTAGCTAAGGTTTCACACTGAGTTCAAGAAATTAGCTCAGCCATCCCAACAAAGTCAGCACTTTGTTAGCAAGCACTTGAAAAAATAATAGTCTATCTGGAGTTTTGTGGTGTATACAAACGAAGCATAGAGAAAGCTATGATGCTTTATAGAAGTAGGCCAAGTGTTTTTAATTAGGCTCATTGGTTCAGCGTAAGTTTTGAAGAACAATCAAACTAGCAGATTAGCTGTTTCTTTTAAAGCTAGGATTTCTTGCCATTCATTTTTCCCATGAGAACTTCCACATAGCGCTTTTTTTTTTTTTTTTTTTACAAGCCTCATTATGGGTTGCAGGAAGAGGACCAATTGAAACTTCTGATACTGTAACATTCCCCACCATCATTCCGATGGATGGGAGTTTTTCACAATGTTCTTCACTGAACTCGGTGTTCTGGAACATATTACAAAACCACAGAGGCCAAATGTTTTCTCTGAGGAGTTTGGACTCTGTTTTTGGTCGAAAACATTTAGGCCTCGCTGGCTGCTTATTTACTCTGCCATTAAGAACAAGAAAAGGAGAAGAAGAAGAAGAAGAAAACGCTCGTGTGGTGGGAGGAACGAGAGGCAATCAAGCGTGATTCCGCTTTGGTGACAGCGTCTCTGCCCATTAATGGTTCCATTCTGTGGTCAGGTCTCATTTAGAAGAAATTATTTTTAATCAGTGCTCAACAAAATATCCCCTTGAGCCACCTGGCCATAAAAGTTAAAAAAAAAATCATCCTTATTAAATTACTCAAGTTCTCAAAAGAAAATAGCTAGGGGACCCATCATTATTGGGATTTTTTTTTTTTAACCATTAAAAAAATTGCCATCAATTTAAGAAATCACATCTTGGAAAACCTGTATCAGACGGGGGAATTAAGATCAAAGATAAAAGTGGCCGATCTGCAAGTCTCACAAAGTAGTTAAGGATAAGAGAGAGAAGTCCTGGGTGTGCTTGCACATGTGTAAGTGTGCGGGAAATTTAAAGTATGAAAAAATGCTTTTGCTGATCCTGCCTCAACCTGTGGACCATAGATAGGAAGACTTAGTTTTTTAAGTATTCTGAGAGAGAGACTCACCTCTCTCTGCTTCGGAAAAATAAAATTTTCGAAGAAACCGGTACAAAAACTTCCCCATTGATATAGCTGGCTGTTCACAGTCACTGTGACTACATCACTTCTAACAAAAGAGAGTCTCTGTTAATTGGTGAACCACGCCGAAGACTCTTGATCATTATCGTTAAATGCCCCTGCCAAGGGTCACACATTCATGGCTGGTGCTGCCAGAGCTTGGTGGTTTGCTCAGTTTACCTCTCTGCTTGTCACCACTCTCTAGCAAAGGCATCGAGATGGGTCATAAATTCTCTCTGTTCTTTGTATCCAAACAACCACTCAGCTCATTGGAAACCTGCAGCCCTCCCCTTCCATAGAAGCTCACACTTCATTTTCTTTAACATCTATGGCATTTCAAGATGCGAGGCTTGGTTTTCTGGATAGGGTGAGCCAACACTGTTTCTTAGGAGAATATCACTTGGAATTTTTCCTTTAAAAAAAAAAAATGTCCTGGGACTGAAAAACAACATCCCAAACGTACTGCCTTTGAGTGCGTGTGAGAGGATTTGCGCGTGCGTATGTGCAAGGCTCTGAAAATCCATAATCAATGAAAAAGAAAAACCCCCCACACAACCGAGACAGGAACAGCCTGGCCTAATCTATGCAAATAAAAGCAGACTTCTGGGGGTGGGAGGAAAGAATTTGACTAAACACAGATTGCCTGCAAGCTGGCTCCACTTGTAGGGCCAGGAGTGCAGCTCTCCATCTTTGGTGCTTCAGACCAGGGACACGTGCGGATTCTCAGCTGCCAGCTGTGCCCTCTCTGGTGTCTGCTCCATTAGAGTGAGGGAGCAAAGTGAATCCCAACCTGATTGGAACAAAAGAGCTCGATGTCACGTCCCTGATCTGATTTATTGTGGCCAGTTATTCTCATGTAAATGCACAGCAAGGCTGACTTTAAATTTTAAATCATGTTTTCTCATAGGAGGAAACAAAATCCCTTTCTGAGGACAGGACTTTTTTCAAAGCCCTCCCTAATCCTGTGTCTGGTCCGTCAGTCCAGTGGGAAGTCAATCCCCATAAACCTCCACTGCCTTGGAGGGGGACTCCCCGGTATCTTTGTTCTTCTCAGTAGCTTCTTTGCTGTTCCATCTTTAAGTGACTTGTAGAATTCTCTCCTGCTAAGTTGAAGTAACTTTGGGTGTTGATAAAAGACTCTCAGGAGGTTTTAGCTGCTTCTTCAAAGCTCTTTGAGTTGGTTTTTCTTCAAAAAAAAAAAGCCCAAATCCAAATGTACTTTTAAACTTCCTTCCAGTTCTTTCTCTATTGGAGTGGGTGGTGTCTTTGGGGAAAAATATGACTGGAGCAATGGGCCACCAGGATGCTAGACCAGCTTAGGTGTGTACCAAGAACCATTTACTGCCTGTTGCCCAAAAGCTGGTGAAAGCCCCAAGGGTGCTCATCTAACAGCTCAGATTTGGTTTGGTTGGGTCACATCTCTAATCCTTTCTGCTGCTGAGTTCTCCTGTTCTTTACATTTTCCACCAAGCTTCCCGCTCCTGTGGAAGGACTAAACAGAGTTCTTGTTAGTCTCAGACTTTACTTTGAAGTAAATATTCTTCCTGGAAATGCTTCCTGTTTGTACCATATGCCCAGAATTACTTTGCATGTAGAAGGGGTCGTGTTGCCTGAATATATTCCATGAAACTTGATGACATGTACCATATCTTTCCAGTTTTCTTTTTTTCCCTCTCCCCATTCCTCTGTGTTCTCTCTCTACCCCCACTCTTCTTCTTTTTTCCCTTCTCGCTCTTTTCATTCCTCCCCTGTAGTCTTTCTCACTTCCAAGGAGATGATGCAGCATAGTGATTAAGTTCTTGGGTTTAAGAGTTGATGGGTATAGATTAAAATCTCAGCTCTGCCTCTTACCAGAGAGATTATTTTGGGTATGTAGTGTGATGGCTCTAAACCACAGTTACCTCATGTTTACATTATTACAAGGAAAAATAACTTGCTGGGGTTGTTCTTAGTAGCAGGGAAATGTGTATAAAGCACTTAAGGTGAGCTAGCATGAGCACTTAGCCAGATATTAGTAGTTTCCATTAATAAGTGATGATCATTATTATTCATTCATTCATTGCTGTCCCCAATATGGTGTAAATATTTTACATGTTGTTTATCTTCTCCATCATGTTCTAGAGGTCTATGAAATGTCCTTTGGAATTTTAGTAATAAACCTATAGTCATCAGTAAATTAGAGAAATAAGTGATACTAATCAACTGCAAATAAAGACAGCACAGTATAAATATGGTATCAAGAAAAAGATTTATGAATGTGATTCATATTATTTTGCTTATTCATACTATTTTGATTAAACAAGTATTTTCTTAGAAATGGCCTCAAATAATAAACGTTTAATAAAGCATCCCAGATTTATTAAGTTCTCAGGTGTTGATTTTTCAGGAACAGCACACTTGTTCTCTTATTTCCATCCCTAACTTCAACCCCTCTTCTGGAGGCCATAGTAACATGGGTACCGTCTGTCACCAGCCCCCTTCAAGGGTATTAGGTTATAATCAGCTTTACCTCCCCTTTCAA